ATACTCGCAAGAGCGTCTGTGACCAGTTTATTGCGCACACCCTGTCTCTCCTGCTTGATTGTGGGCTCCGTGAGAGCGGCTGGAGAACGCTTAGAGTGCAGGTTATGTCATGGTGGGAGTGTGACTCCTGTATGATCTGGGCGAGATTGATAATCCATCTGTATGATGGGGAGGGAAACGTTACCTATCTCGTAGGGCTATTGTGAGGATCGCGTAAGACGGTGCCACGGAGCACTTGATACACAGCCTGTGGCGATGGCCTAGTGCGCACGCGCACACGTACACACACACGCTTTTATTAAAACAGCAGTGACAGTAGCTAGTGCTTGTACTGTGTTCACACATGCCTGGCGCTGGTCTGAGTCGTTTAAATATATGAACTCATTTAACCCTCTCAATAGTCCTATGAAGTAGGAACTATTATTACCCCATTTAACAGATGGGGAAACTGAAGCACAGAAAGGTGAGGGAGCAGAATGGGACCGACAGACCACTGCGCCTGAGGCCATCACCGAGGACAATAGCCCACGTTGTTCAGATGGTTTTCAGACACAGGAAGAGTCATCCTGCATCAGATCAATTGGTCAGAGCTCACTCTCCCCAAGGATTGTGAAAGTTTGGATGGAGAAGTTAGGTTTTTAACTAAAGCAGGTGACAGCAGTGAACACCGGAGAGAAATACTCTTCTTTCAAGGCCCTCATGGACTCTGGGAGTTCAGATGGGACCTTGGGGTCCGTGGACCTAAGTCTCCTGTGAGCCAAGAATCCAGGGCACAGAATCGCTGTAGGCAAGTAAATAGAAAAGCTATTTCGGAGTCGAGATCTTTTGCCCCCAAAAACTATTGTGTATAACCGGGACTAGAGGAGGGTAAAATCTTAAAATCAAAGGCCAGTGTCATACCAGATACCACAAAGTTACATTGGATTAGACCCGACCTAAATATTACAGAAGGGTGTTTCTCCTCCTGTTCTTGGACTCTGACATTTAGGGGATAATTTCTTGTCAGAAGTTTACCAATTTCTTGCTGGCAGTTTGCCATCTGGCCTCTTGTTTCCAAGACCCTGAGCTAGCTATGCCGGGGAGCTGCATAGAAGCCCCCTGAGTCTGCAGCACTGAGCCCCTAGCCACAGGGGGTCTCCTTGTTCTCGGGGGTCGGTCCAGGCCAGCTGCCATTTCGGATCCTGATTGGATCTCACCCATCCAGGATTTTTCACCAGATCTTTCTGATAAGGGAGACCCCTCAGGTAATATAGGGGCTCAATCACATTTTCCCACGGAATAGGGAAAAGAGAGAGAAGTGTTTTCCTGCACAAGGAGGGTGACGGCCGAGGTCTGACGGCCTTCGAGGCCGTGCCCTGCACGTGGGCCTCGTGTAACTGGCCCGCCCGTGGGGATTCGTGCCAGGGCCTCCCCGCCCCAGCTCCACCCGATGCCCGGTACCCTAAGGCCTCGCGTCGGGGGACCTCAGGGCATGTGTCCACCCTTCCCTCCAGGGCCAGGACATCCTCGAGCGCAGCTCGGAGCTGATCCACTCCGGGGAGCTGACCAGGGTCACCCGGCAGGGCAAGAGCCAGCAGCGGATGTTCTTCCTGTTTGACCACCAGCTGGTGGCCTGCAAGAAAGACCTGCTGCGGAGGGACGTGCTCTACTACCGTGGTAGCACAGACATGGACGCCGTGGAACTAGTGGACCTGGAGGACGGCCGCGACGGTGCCCGCACCCTCGGCGTCAGAAACGCCTTCAAGCTGGTCAGCAGGACGGGTGACGAGGCGCACCTGTTCTGTGCCAAGAAGCCTGAGGACAAGGCGCGGTGGCTGCAGGCCTGCAGGGACGAGCGCAGGCGGGTGCAGGAGGACCGGGCGATGGGTGAGCCCTGGGGTCTCGGCCCTTCCCCCGCCTCTCCCGGTTCACCCCCCGCGGGGAAATGACCAGGGAACTGCAGGTCCTGATATTCCTAAACCTGCTTACGAGACCGACAGGGACTGGTGTGCCATGGGTCCTATTGTTGGACCCATTTCACAGATGAGGAAACTGAGGCTGAAGGCACCAGCCCACTCTTAGAAGGCGGGTTGTCACTCTTCACGTGTCCCGGTAGGGAGAATGGTGGTGTGGCCATCCTGCTGATCATCCTCCTCCTCCTCCACTCTCTTCAACCCCTTATACTTACTTCCTGAAGGGTTAAGGCTCTTTGCTTTGGGTTATGGAGCAGACCTCAGGGTTACTGTGGGTTTGGTGCAGGTTTTATTCTGAAATGTTTTCACTTGTTTTGAATACATATCACATTTGTTTCTAAATACAGGAATGGAAATTTCAGAAAATCAGAAGAAACTTGCCATGTTAAATGCTCAAAAGGCAGGACATGGAAAGTCAAAAGGTAAATTTTGAAGGTTTTTCACCTCTTGAGTGTGTGTGTGTCAGTTGGAATTAAAATGGGGAGAAATGCCCGAAGCTGTTAGGCATGACCGACTCTTAAGTGAAGGAGAGAAGTGTGGGTAGAGCAAGGTGATAGTTCAGAGCGGTGGACGGTTTAAAAACCAAATCTGCATTTGGTGCTGGACATGCTTTAGTACGTGCTTACGTTTGAAGAGGAGTGTGGACAAGGTGTTTGACTTGGGGCCGAGGAGCTTCTAGACCCCCTGCCCTGCCCTCTGAGCTTCCCCCTGCGGAGGGAGGGATTATCCATCCGCAGGCCAACCAGCCCAGGAGTCTGGGGCATGTGAGGAGGAAATCTCCAACCCCAGACTGCTTGTCAGCTGAAGGCATGTCCTAGTTCAGACGAGAAAAAAGATGTAAACGTTCACTGTGTCAAGCAGGGAGCGAAAGCAAACGAAGCCCCCCCTGGCTTCTTTGGGGCCTGGATTCTCTACCCCCTGCAGGCACGCTCTGCAGGCACGCTCTGGGGGTGACCTGGGCACCTCTTACAAAGTACCGAGGCCCGGGACACGGACCCCAGAGTCCACACGTGCATAGTACAAATATTCTAGCCCAACAGAAATGAAACAATAAGAATTCCTATTCCAAAACTACATGTTGTATTTCTGCAAACTTTATTCACGTGAAATTTATCCCATCTGGTATTTTCCTACCCGAAAATGCAAACACAAGGACCAGTTGAGCCCAGGACTGATGGGCCGAGAAGAATTTATTACCAGAACAGCATTTAGCAAAGCCCTGCTTCCTCTGCTTAAATGCAGAATTCCCTGCTGCCGCCCCCGCTCCCCCCCCCCACACACACTAAGTTAAGGGATATCTTCAAGGCAGAAAATCTCATTTTAAGTATTCCTTGCATCTCCACTTTGGATGGCAGGTGACTGGTAAATACCAGTTTGTTGGGATTCACTAGTTCCCATCCATATCTTCCAAGGATCACTGGCTCAGCGGCCAGGCAGCTAGTTCGAAGGAGGTCTCGCGTTTCTGGGGGTCACCTGTCCTGCACTTTCTGTGAGTTCTCTCGTGCCATGCTCTCTGCCGACCTGGAAGAGGAGAGCCTTGGGGCAGGTCAGGGGCAGGTCAGGGGCAGGTCAGGGGCAGGGAGGGATTGTGGACGGAGGCCTCTCTTCCCAAACTCCCACTCTGTCCTCTCTTCATGCTGACTTTCACAGTTAGCGTGTGGCCTTGTAGCTAATTGAACACCACTTTCTGACCACCTGTGCACAGGTTTTATATGCCAGCTCCAAAGAAACAGTCGGTTAATTCGATGAGGGATCAGGGGCACTACTCTAAGCATGTTACTCATATTCACTCATTTAATTCTCATATAACAACCCAGTGGGCACCGTTACCCCGTCTTAGACATTGGAAAACTGAGGCTCAGAGGACCCAGATAATTGCATCCCGTAAGTGGCGAGCAGTACGAGCTCCAGGCTCTCATAGAAAGCACTCCACTGCTTCTCATCCCACACAGACGTCCAGTTCCAGTCCTGCCGGTGAAATTTACACAGTGGCCCTGGGTTTCTGTTTCCTTCCCGGTCACTTGGCTGTCACGGTACCGTCCTGGGAGGGTTTTGAGTGAGGATTCAGTGCGGTAGTCTGTGTCCCGATCGGCACACAGGGTCTGAGTGTAAGTGTCAGGATGGCCGTTCGGGCCCCTTTGGGGGAGGTGACTGGAGGGTCGGCCTGGGGCGTGGGGACCGGCACTTGCTTTTCCCTTTGGGCTGCCACCGGCGCTGAGTCCGTGGCCCTCTGCCCTCCCCACCCCTGCATCAGGCTACGGCGGAGGATGCCCCTCGGCCCCCCCGCTCCAGAGCCTGCGGCCGGTCCACCAGCGCCACGTCACCGTGCCCGCCAGCCTGCCGCAACAGCAGGTGTTCGCCCTGGCGGAGCCCAAGAGGAAGCCGTCGCTGTTCTGGCACACCTTCAACAAGCTCACCCCCTTCAGGAAGTGACACGGGGGACCGGGGAGAGGGCCCCCCGTGCCCCTCCTGGGCCCCGTCCAAGGAGTCTACTCCGCACGTGGCACAGGGATCCGGTGCCGAAAACCTCTCCTGGGGACGCAGCGAGGAGGACCTGGCCTCCCCTGCGGTCGCAGAGGCCCAGCTGCCTTCTCGGGAGGGAGGGGGGTCATGATGCACAGCTCCAGTGTCCCCTGGACCGCTCCCCGCCGTGAGCCCACCGAGGCAGCCGGCGCCGGGGAACCGGAGTGGGCTCTGGAGATGCTGGGCGGGGAGCCGGGAGCATCGCTGAGGACGAGCTGCAGTCCAGGCCCCGGGAGGGGCTCCCCGAGGAGGATGGGCAGGGCCACTTTGCCTTCGGTCTTGAAGGGGAGGGGAGTGCCGGGGTCACGGGGTGGCGGGCGGTGACCGCAGCCCCATGGGGGCCCTGGGGTCCCCTGGAGTCTTCCTCATCCACGCAGTCGCCAAATGGTGGGCCGGCCTCTCCCGCAGGCTCCTGCGCACGTGGTCCAGGGCCCGCGGTGCACAGAGACCCACGCACTCCAAAGACGCCGTTGCTTTCAGGGGGCAGGGAGCCCGGTGCTGGCTTTGTACGCTTGTCCTCGCCCGTGTGCCACTCCCCGAGCAGAAACCTGAGAAACTCCACGCACGTGCACTTCCAGTGGGAAAACCGATTTCATTTCGTTTGAGGACGAAGTGAACGTGCAGACCTCCCAGTTGAAACGTGTCCTTAAAAGAGCGTCCGTGTGCCTGTTCCTCCCTCTGCCTTTGTCCTCGCTGATCAAGGGACAGTGACACGTACCTTCTTCCACTGAAAACCACGAGGCTCAAGGGTCCTGCTTCCTCCACGTTTGAAGCCGACTTTGTCCCATGCCCCCGAGCAGTAGTGCCAGCCATGCCATGACTAGCATGTCGACAGGTTTCTGAAGATCGGTTCCGTATGGAAGAGACCTCACAAAATAGATCCGGACTCAGAGAGAGCAGCCCGCTCTAGCGAAGGCCACGTGGCTGACGCCGGTCGGCAGCAACCTCCTTGCCTTTTCTCGATGGTAAATTTTGATGAAAATGGCTTTTAAACGTGCCGGGAGGAAGCAGGCTCTGCCAGAGAGACATCTTTCCATTGACCTCATGCACCGGGCGGGGGTCCTGTTACATGTCTTGTGGTTTTCTACTTGGGAATCCCTTTTTGGTGTTGAAACCTCGAAAGTTCTCTTTTCTACCCAGTCCCTGCTTGAGAATAAACACACCTGTATGGTCCTAACAGAGGGGACACGTGAGGCTCCAGGTGTGGGCCCCCTCGTCCTCACACCCAGAGCTGTTCCCGGGGGGCGGGGGGACCCGGGCGGTGCTGCCTCTGCGGACCTCGGGGCCCAGGTCCCGGCACAGAGGCCGCTTCTGTGAGGAAGCTCCTCGGGAGGTGCCGTGGGTCCGCGTGCTCGTGTGTGTGTGTGTGTGTGTGTGTGTGTGTGTGTGTGTGTGTGTGTGTGTGTTTCCTTTCTGAATAGACTTCTCAATTTTCGTTGCATTTATATAACTGACCTTTTTACTAACAAGATATAATAATAAATTTTGAATACTATGCTTAATATGCTTTTCGTGGGCCGCCTCAGCAAACATTGTCGGGCCTCTGTGCTAAACAGAGTAGTTTGTTTATATGGCAGTTGTGAAAAGTTGGGTTGCTTTTTTTTTTTTTTTTTTTTATTAAATAATTTTATTTATTTTTGCTGTGTTGGGTCTTTGTTTCTGTGCAAGGGCTTCCTCTAGCTGTGGCAAGCGGGGGCCACTCTTCATCGCGGTGCGCGGGCCTCTCACTATCGCGGCCTCTCTTGTTGCGGAGCACAGAAATTTTGTTTTCTTTTTTTTTTTTTTTTTTTTAATAGAATTACTTTGAGGAAGTAAAGAAAATCAGTTGCTCATTGTTATATTTCCAGTGAGGACTCACCTCCAGTGCAGAAGCACCCAGAGGGCCCCCATCTCCCCTGTTGTCCAGAGCACAGGGACAAAGGGCTGGACGTGCTGTCGGCAGCCCTGGTCTGTCTCTCGGCCGAGCCCTGACTCCTGGCTCCCCGCTCCTCCCCTCAAGCTTCCCAACAGAGGAGCAGGAAGCATGGACACCAGGGCACGTGGTGACAGTCCCTTGGTCAGATGTCCATCCTAGGTGGCTCCTGCTTGGATTTCCAGGTGATTTGAAAACTGCTAAAATGCGTTTAAAAGGATAGAACGTCCTTTGTCCTCTTTAAATATGTGTGTCTAGCTTGGGTTTATTAGCAAATGCCTGCGTTCTCAACAGGATGTTCTGTTTTTACATTTGCCGAACTTCCTTCTTTTTTTTTTTTCTTTTTTCTTTTTTTTTTTTTGCGGTACGCGGGCCTCTCACTGTTGCGGCCTCTCCCGCTGCGGAGCACAGGCTCTGGACGCGCAGGCTCAGCGGCCACGGCTCACGGGCCCAGCCGCTCCGCGGCATGTGGGATCCTCCCGGACCGGGGCACGAACCCGCGTCCCCTGCATCGGCAGGCGGACCCCCAACCACTGTGCCACCAGGGAAGCCCTGAACTTCCTTCTTGATTTCTCACATGTTCCACTTGGAGAGAAAAAGAGAAAAAACGAAGACGAGACCCCTGTACAGGTTGTGTATGAATTTCACTGGGAATCTCGCTTTCTCTGTCTGTTTCTCTTTTTAACACTACACTGCGTGGTATCAGTGGACCACGCCCCCCCCCCCAAAAAAAAAGAAAGAGATGGCATAACATTTTGATGAATTTCACTTACTCTGTCATGTTTCAGAGTTTGCCAACTCTGTTGAAAGACCTTTGCAATGGCCTCAGGTCCAAAGCAGCCTTCTCGGTTTTTGATGATGCCTAACACGTATAACAACCTTGCAGTAGATTGTAAGCAGTCGTACAACAGAATACCTGTGGAGTCCTGGAGATATGGCATTCTTTGTCTTTGGCCTGCACACTGGAAGCAGAGTGGCGGGGATTTGCCAGGGCTTTCCTGGGACACCTGTGTCTCTTGCTCTCGGTACATCTGATCTCTTCCCACCCCATGCCGTAGACCTGATTTTGTAGTTGAAAACATTTCACCCCCATCTCCACACTCCTTCTGAATATCGTCGTGCCTTTTTATTCGTCATGAGGACTGAGCTCCATGCCTGTTCAGAAAATCCCCTCAATCCTACATTGCTGTTGTCTAGACACGGAGCAAAAGTACATTTAATTCAAAACCTGTTTCACAATAGAAATCTTTTGTAAAAGCCACGCGCCAGCATTTTATCGGTTGGGAGCCTCTACGGGCCCAGACTGCTGCTCAGTGCAGAGCAACTTAGTCACCAAGCCAGGATAGAAACACCCGACCACCTGAGTTAGGGAAGAAACTGCAGCGTAATATTTTGTTGAGGAGAGGAGAAACAGACGTGTCCCTCACAGTTCAGTGCCAACGAGCGTGGATAAATGTGGCTCCCAGGCCAGGGATGCCAGGCACACATCGAGAAGGCCAGACTGCCCCAAAGCAGTTGTCCCTGTAATAAGCTTAGCCTGCAAGTTCTCCCTGTTAAAGTTCCACCTGGCAGATGCTGCCGTTCTCGGGATGGATGCAGCGAAGGTGGAGTCCAGAAGATTCGGAAAATAATAAGTAGAAACGGTGTGATCTTGAAGAAAACAGACAAACCCAGGAGCATAAATGTCGGATGCAAATTTAGTAACAGCAGACTTAACCTTACTGTCTTCAGTTGTTTATTCGGTATCTGACACTTGAATTTAGAAAATGCCTGTAATTTACCAGTTGGTCTCCTTGTGTGAGTATTAGCGTCCACAGTGTTTGACTTACCCACTTCGCAAGGCTTTTGGTGACCTGTTCCTTCGATTCTAACTCACCAGCGTCAAGGTGATGTTATCTGTATAGGTCAAGTGACAGCTTCCAGACTGATGAATGTTGACAGCTGAATCGTGTTGTACAAGATCGCTGTAACTTGATATGTATTTTCTCTGAAGTTTTTGTAAAAAAAAAAAAAAAAAAATTACAATGTTATTTGAATGATTTCTTGTAAATGCTGTGAATCTATATTTGTTGTTTTGTATCTGTATATTAAAGTTAATTTGCCAAACTCGCTGTAGTAATGCATTGGAGTGTGTGTGTGTGTGTGTGTGTGTGTGTATGTGTGTAACATATATATATATATA